GAATGGGATGGAGAGGAGGCCAGTACAGATGCTTCATCGGTTGGCCACCATTGTGATAACTTGACACTCAATCCTATCGGACCTTTGAGAAGCCTTATAAAATGTGGCTCACAGCTGTCCGTGACAATAGAAAGCATTTATCCATCAGCTCCCTCCCTCCAGGTCAACAATGGTTCCACGGATCATCCGCTCTTGCACACTTCCCGGCTGCCTTCGCACAGTGCTGGCGGTCTCCCCACCCCCGGCCGTCCCATATGGTGGCACCGGGTGTCTCTGCACTTCACTGGAGTTGATCCAAGTCGCGCGTGGAACTGAATGCTGTAATAGCACCTAGGGTCAGAGGCGAGGCCCAGAAGATTGGGAAGGAGTTTCTAAATGCTGACTGTGGGAGAAAGTGACAGAACAGAGGAAAGGGTGATCTTGATGTGGAAAGAGAATGAAAGCACAGCCTAAGTGGCTTGGCATGGGGGAGCCAAGACGGGGTGGGAGGGTGGTCAGGATCCCTCCACACCCCTGTCACCCTGAGGGCCTTCATCACACCTGCCATCTGGGACCATCTGTCTCCACCTTCAACTTCAGGAATTTCCTACATTATTGCATTTTGGTTATTTGTGAGTCATTTCTATGCCCTATGAAGAGAATGCAGGCATGGTGATGTAAGGATACAAATAGAGATAATGTTAGAAGCCTAAGGAAAGGATGAAATTATCAAGGATAGTGTAAAATGAGGAGGGAATTTAGCATAAAACTTTTGGTTAGCGAAAAGCAGGAAGCCACTGAATATGCAGATTAAATTATCCCAGCTGTTAAGAGAAAACTCAGCACAGAGGCAGAGCGGCGGTTGGAAAGGCGGAGTGAGCGCTGGGAAGGGAACACAAGCTGTTCCCGCAGGAAGCTCGGTGGTGACAGGAGGAATAGGGCAGGTGCCTGAGGGGGCAGTGTGGTTACAGGGATGCTATTTTTGTGTTGAAAGAGAGAAGAATTTCTATCATGTTAAAAAACCCAAGAAAAGGAGTTAGCAGAGAGGGAAACGGCGAAGATGCCAGAAGAAAGAGTGAAAAATAAAGTCAGATCTTGAAGGGAGGAATACAAAGGGAATAGATGGGTTTACTTTTTGAAAGGGTGATGAAAAGACCTAATTACAGTTATCTTCCAAACAGAAATGAAAGAAGGGGAAATGGGTGAGGACACTAAACATTTCCAGGTGTAAAGAGGAATTGAGGGATGGCTTCAAATTTATCAGGGAAGTCAGGGCCAAGTCTTCCCTTATGTAGAAAGAGAGAGAGAGAGAAGAGAGAGAGAGAGAGAGAGAGAGAAAGAGAGAGTTGGGGGAAAGGGACAAGGCAAGAGGACAGGTAGCTGTGGACAAAAATGTTTGGGTTTGGAGATCTTGGCAATAAAATCATTGAGAGCGGAGATGTGCATGATGGCTGAGATGGGAAACCTTGTATTTAGAATTGGCAAAGTCAAAGAATGTGGGGATATTAGTATTTTTAAGTGAATGAAGATAAAATCTTTGACTGATAAAAGAACAGGGAGCAGAGTGTTAGAGAGGACTACAGGGCAGCCTGGGGACAAAACCAGCTATAAAAGCAGGTGGCCCAGACTTCAGGCAAGAAATGAGGTGTCTAGGTGACAATGGAGAACAACAGTGCATCTACACGTTTGAGGGGTTTCTTGCCGTTCTTTCTATCTCCTTGGGACCTGTCTGCTGTAACTGTACTGCTTCTCTCTATATATGGCAAATTTGTATTTTATTTCCTTCTCTTTTTTTGAAGACAATGTTATAGAGCAGTTTTAGGTTCACAGTAAAATTGAGAGGAAGGTACAGAGATTTCCCATTTACCCTTCCTCCCCCACAGGCACAGCCTCCCCCCATTAGAGTGGTACATTTGTTACAACTGATGAACCTACATTGAATGTCATAATTAAGCAAAGTCCATAGTTTACGTTAGGGTTCACTCTTGGTGCTGTACATTCTATGGGTTTGGACAAATGTATAATGGCATGTCTCCACCCTTTTGGTATCATAGAGTAGTTTCACTGCCCTCAATATCCTCTGCATGGCATACATTTTTAATCCAGGAATTTAAGTTCCCTCATCTCTCACCTCTCCCCGTGCTCACCCTCAGCCAGGCACACTGGCCTCCTTGGTGTTTCTCTAGCAGCCCGGGTACGTTTCCACCTCAGGGCCTTTGTACTCACTTGTCTGTGTGGCTTGTGTCTCACTCAGTTCTCCTTCACTGAGCCCTTTTCTGAGCACTGTTCTAACAAATAACAACATCCTTCCCCCAACTCCCATAGGCTCTATAATGCCCATTCCAGCTTTATTTTGTTCCTCAACACTCAATGTCTTCAATTTTTTTTCTATTAGAATATAAGCTACACAAGGGCAGGAGCTTTGCTTATTTTGTTTCTGGCTTTTCCAGCTCCCCAAACAGGGCCCAGAGCACAGTAAACATCCCATCATTATCAGTACAAGAAGCACTGCAGGGTACCAGAAGTCCAGATGTTCCAAACATCAAAATGGATCATAATTTAAATTCCCCACTCAGGTCTGTGCTATAGATACTGTCTATCAAAAAGGGGCTATCACCCTGGTTGGGTCTGACTTATTAGTCAAGTGGAAGGCCTTTAAAGAGTGACTAGGCACTTCCCGAAGCTCAGAAACTCCAAGCTTCAGCTCAAGCTCAAGTTAATAGATTTCCAGTTGGCTAGCTCCCTTCTCTTCCTGGCTATCTGTCCTGTGGACGTGGGGCTTGCTCAGACAGCCCCACGATTGTGTAAGCCAATCCTCTTTGTATATACACACATCCTGCCAATTCTGCCTCTGGCTAAACCCTGACCCACACAGACAATCTTCATAATTTACGTCTTAACCAGAATATTCTTGTGCTGGGCTGCATATCTGGCGCTTTGGCCAGACGGGTCATGCTGTGCTATCTGTTCCTAAAACACATAGATAGAAAGGTACTGACATCAGGCCAGGCCTTGAGATATGGTCTCATGGCCCCTTCCCAGCACGCAGGCCTTCTTTCTCAGAAGGCCCAGAAGTCTCATTCCAAATTTGGGAGACAAAGGACTGGAAAAAGTATAAATAAAGAGAGTTTCCTCCATATTGGGGGTCCAGAATTTGAAAGACACATTGTTCTCTGGGCCTCCACAGAATTTAATAATAAAATGTAACTCCTGTAGTCAGCACTGCAGTTCAGCCTCTGCTTCGGCAAGGTGCTGTAACTGTAGTCACTGGCCAGCTTAAATAAAGGCTCCTAAATTTTGATCTGAGTGACTGGTGGTCGTCTCCGCGGGTCGCGCCATTACATTCTTACCCCTTCTTCATTTAAAGTTCTATTCACTCAAGTGCTTATTTGTTTTCTTCTTTGCAATTTCTGGAGCAAATTAACCCCTGGCTGTCGTATGACCCTCAGTGTTCTAGCCATACATAAATATCCTAGCTTTGTTAAGTCTAAAAATCATGGGGACTTAGCCCACATTGTCCAGCTGTTCCCATTTAGGCAGCCTCACAATTAATATTTTCTAGCAAATGAGATTTCTGCTTATTCTTTAAATACTTCTTTTCTAAGCTGTGGTCTCACTTGTATGGTCTTCTCCACCTTCTGCTGCTTGTTGGGTTTCTCTAACATGTACATTTGCCCATGTGATTCCCTGGCTTGAAAGAGCATCAGTTACTCTCCAGTTATCATTTAGGAAAATCTAAGTCTCAATGGTGCATTCACTCCCTCTGTTTTAATCTCCCTGCTTTCCCAGTTTCATCTACTTTTTGCCCCTTGTGCCCTCACATTAAAGGCCTTGCAATTCTCCAAGTGAGTCTTCCCAGGGCCAAGGAACTGGTTCTCTGAAAGAAACCAGCAGCTGCTAACAGGCATGTCTGTGAGCCAAACTGCCGTCAGTAAGGTAAACACCAAAATAAACAGCCTCCTGAAAAGTCTTTTATATCATCTACATGAAATTTACACATGGTCTTTAGACATCGACAAAATGTTTTATGTACCACAACTTTCTGCTAACGTTTACTTCTCAAAAAGTCGTTACACGTCACATTCCACATCCAGAGATGATTCTTTTTACCGCAGCAATCCCTTCCTCCCACTTCCTCCACCGGCACCCGTGGCGTGACTTTCCTCCCATTTTCCTGATTTGTGATTAGGTTTCCCTTGAACCTAAATATTTCTTTGACTCATCTCTGACCCTGGAGGTGCTCTCTCACAGTAATTCTTGCCCCACATAAAATACTTTCCACCCTTCCCTTGCTATGACCTGACTCCAGCCATGGCCCTTTGGCTTCCACTGTAGGTGCCTCGGCCTTTTCTAGACTCCTTCCCTCCAGATTCACTTTTAGAGACCAAGAATGCTCGTTCTCATGTCTTTTCCAATGACATCATCCCTTCCTCAGCAACTTACCAACAGGTACCACTCATTCCCCAGGTCCACGTAGCTGATTCCCCACTGCTTTAAATGACAGCTCCTGATCACGAGTTTGAGGCTAGCCACTTCCACGGCACCCCTTCGCCTAACGACATTGATGAGATGTCTGTTCCAGATGTGGAATTCCACTTACCCCTCTCTGTCACTTGACACCTATTCTTGCAATGCCAAGCCCTCTACAACCCTCCACACCCGCCTGTACCACCACCACCATCACCACCACCGGCCTCTCCACCTGAATGTCCTTTTTCTTCATCAAACGCTCCTCATAACCATCTTTGTCATAAAGCTCTCCCAGAGTACAACCATTTCAGCAATCTCCTCGGCCCTTGTGTAAATACAAGCCATTTACAGATATCAGACACTGGCCCTGCTCAATTTCAGAAAATCATGTATAACCATGCGAGTTCAGCAGGGAAGGGAGCCAGAATTTCAGTTTTCAAACGCCTTTCACAGAATCAAACATGCAGGCCAGAATGGCATTCCAGACCTTATTTTAAAGACTCGGGTACCGTTATAATAAGGCACTCCACTAGATACAGATCGAATTGAGTATTTATTTAAAATAATAAAAATGTTTGTCTTCATGCACTTTACATAAGATAGGAATCTATACACTTTCCTTAAGTCAGTGTTCAACCCCTTTCTGCTTTCGTCCCGAGGTGAGGCTTGCTCCAGAAGAGTTGACTTTCATTAGGAGCCAGGAGGCGTATACCTGGAGAAAGGAAGAAGAAGGGGAGATGATGGGCTTCAGAGTTCTCAAAAATGAGACCAGTCAGCTAGCAGGGAACCCTACCAAATGCTTCTCCCAGCTCCTGGGTCTCCAGGTTTGAGCTCTGTGAACACTGTTCTCTCCCAAATACAGGACATCATGGACACTGCAAGGGTTAGGGGTGAAGCTGACCAGAATCCTTGCTCCAAGGAAGATTTTCATTTTCTTGCATTTCAGCCTTTTGTTGTTGTTCAAAGTTAACTGGAAATTATGGAGTCATGGTCACATCTCTGCACAGCTGTTCTTTATTTTTTTGTTTTATTACCACCATAGATTCAATCACAAAGAAGAAGGAAGTATATTATTTCAAATAGCTTCTTTAAATCTGAAAAACCAGGAAACAAGCCTGCAGTCATAAAAACATAAATCCAATCATAACACCTCAGTCAGGAAAAGCATCAGGCCTTGGGAACCAAGCAAGCTCAGCCCGTCCCGCTCAAACAGACCCCCCACGGAAGGACTGATAGTATCTACAATGAAAGCCAAACAGCTGAGTCACTCACCTAGCTCTTGAGGAACAGAAGTGAAGAGGAATCATTGGTGGACTGTGGAGAGTTTCAGTGGAGAGGGGAAAACTGCTTCTCAGGAAGGAATCCCAGCAAGATGAGCTTGGTTTTCAGGCAAATTTTCTGCTTGAAACAAAGGAGCAGAAAACCTTTTATGGTTTATAATAAAATCAATTGATTTTAATAATAAAACTCTGTGGTTAGCCCTAGCCAGTTTGGCTCAGTGGATAGAGCGTCAGCCTGCAGACCAAAGGGTCCCAGGTTTGATTCTGGTCAAGAGCACGTACCTTGGTTGCAGGCTCCTCCCCAGCCCGGGCCCTGGTCAGGACACGTGCAGGAGGCAACCAATTGATGTGATTCTCTCACATCAATGTTTTTCTCTGTCTTTCCCTTTCTCTTCCATTCTCTCTAACAGATCAATGGAAAAAATATCCTTGGGTGAGAATTAACCAAAAAAAAAAAAAAAGGAAAAAAGAAAAAGAAAAAATTCTGTGCTTAAATTTTTCTACAATAATATGAGATTCTCAGGGTAACTGACTTCAATTGCCTTGGTGTTAATGCTCATCAGGAACAAATACTCATCAATGCCCAGGTGACAGCATCAGGAACAAAATAACATGGAGGTGAATGTAATGGTGAGAGCCACCTGTGGTCTTCCTTCTCCATCAGTCCTCGCTGCACCCCGACCCCACTGTGACCTTCTTGGCCTCCTGTGCCCTGGCCAGGTCCCAGCATGGCGTGCTCACTCTCCTAGAGGCCTCTTATGCCAGTTGCTGGTTGATCTTGGACCCCTGCTTTGCTGCCTGGGGTCATTCATATGCTCACACCGTTGCCCTTAACCACCTGGGCTGTCCCTTACCTGCCTTGGGATTTGTCATCACACTGACCTCACTTCCCAGGGAACTTCTCTTTTGATACTCAGTATTGTTAGGTCTGATCAAATAAGTGAATCGGTACCCCCTCCCCTGTGGACTGACCTTTAGACCACTTTACAACTGACACTCCCTTTCGCTAAGACCACATTCCACTTGCTGAGACCATTATCTTTCCCCTTCAGACTTGCCCAAGATCCGGACCCACCCAGAGAATTCTCCATTGAAAAAAAAATCTTGTCTAGAGTCCTTTAAAATCTCTGACTCCCCATCCCTAGGGGCTGGCGCCATTTTGGGGCTCAGCCCATCTGGTTTTCCAGATGACCTAATAAGTTTATAATTCTTTACCTCTTTTGGCCTCGTATATACCTCTTTCTGTGACCCTAACAATTATGAACTCATAGATTTAAATATAGTTGATGAGCTTCAATTTACTGCAGCTATTATTTTCATTGATAGTCAAATGGAAGCCCTTGCAAGTGTGCTCCTGACTACTTTTGGCATAATCATAGTTGTTAATAGTGTTCTTGTTTTCAGGTATGACTAGATGTTTAAGGTTCATCTTGAGCATTTCTTTTTTTATTTGTTTGTTGGTTGTTTTTTGTTAATCCTCACTCAGGGATATTTTTTCACATTGATTGGTTGCCTCCCACAGGCACCCTAATGGGGGCCGAGTATTGAACCTGTAACCCAGGTATGTGCCCTTGACCAGGAATCAAACCCAAGACCCTTTGGTGTGCAGGCCAATGCTCTAACCATCCAGCACACTGGTCAGGGCAATCTTGAGCATTTCTTGATGCAGACCTGGATCCAGGTGTTTCTATAAAAAGCCCTAGTTCTTAGGAGAGCATAATCTCTGTGTTAGGAACGCTCATTCCTAATGGGATCCTTGTTTCTAGGTCTCTTCAGGGAACAAAACTAGGAGTTCAGAGATAGATGGATAATTGGTGATAGATAGATAGATAGATAGATAGATAGATAGATAGATAGATAGATTGTTTAATTCATTAACACTATATCCTGGAGATCTAATGGAAGTATGTAGAGATATTACTCTTCTTTTTATAGTTTTATGATATTCCACCGTGTAGCTATAACCATAGTTGATGGCCTCTTTTTCACTGACATTTGAATTGTTTTTAATAAACAAATAGTGCTCCAATTAATAGTCTTGTGCATACAGATTTCCATATTTTCCAGTGCTTCTTTGGGATAGATTATGTGGACACAAAAAGGGGTTCTATGGAAAGTAATCTCACAGGGTGATCTGATCATAAATTCCTAACTGGGCAGGCCATGGTGGGTAGTCACACCTCAGGCATATCACTTCTTTACTGAAAGGCTTATTTCTGCCTTAAGCAAGCCCTTTCCATTGTTTCTGTTCATCTAGGTTAACACAGCTTTAAGTAACCACCCTCAAGAGAGCACAAAATCTTGTTAACTATCCTGCCATCTAATCCCACCCTACTTTCCATGTAACCCTCCTTATGTTCTCTCTTTAATTTCAAAGGCATAAAGGAAGCTGCAAAATAGTTCATCTTGGGAGCATCTGAGATCTTGCTCCCCGGCATATGTTGCCAGTTTGGCTCAAATGACTCATAAAAATTCTCTACAGGTTTGGACGTTTCTCAGGAAATGGAGAGATGAGCCTTTGTCTCCTGATATAAGTCAACAAATGCCTCTCCCAGGACTCACTGAGCCCTCATACCAGTGGAGTTTCTGGAAGTACATGTAACACGTCCTGCTGGAACTAAGTTCCTGTTAGTAGCACTCAGGACATCATCTGTACCCAGGTATGCATGTGTGATAGAAATCATAGAGTCAAGCCCTGACTGGTTTGGCTCAGTGGATAGAGCGTCGGCCTGCGGACTGAAGGGTCCCAGGTTTCATTCCAGTCAAGGGCATGTACCTTGGTTGCGGGCACATCCCCAGTGGGGGTGTGCAGGAGGCAGCTGATCGATGTTTCTCTCTCATCGATGTTTCTAACTCTCTATCCCTCTCCCTTCCTCTCTGTAAAAAATCAATAAAAATATATTTAAAAAAAAGAAATCATAGAGTCAAAATTGATCCTAACATTCCCCTCAGATGGCACTAAATTGGAGACCACCATACACTGTCTAAGTCCAATGAAGCTATGTTTCCTCCAACATTAGAACATATCACTGTTAGCTGAGCACAGATGGAGAGTCAGTCCGCGGTTGGAGGCTCAGTCCAGACCATTTGCCACAGAGAGGACTAGAAGACACAGTGTCAATCCTTATGAGAACTTAAATGCACATACTATGAAACGCCAGGGAAGTCAAGTATAGGCACTTGTTGTTGTTGCTGCAATTGTTGTACTTAAATAATTACAACAATTAATTCTTCCCTACACAGCTTCCTGTGAGCCAACCACTGGGCAATAGTTACAATCTTCCTAGACTACTTTCTGCTTCAAGCACACAAATTAAAATAGAAGAATTACAGGAGAGTAAGAGAAATATTTTATCATTTTTTGGAGAGAGAAATGCAGTCACATTTGACACATTAGAGCTGCATCTTTCTTAGTATGTGTATCTATATTATATATACATGTATATTTATTTCCATTTTATAAATGAGAGATCTTATATTGTCTTAAATGCCAGTTGTAATTTCTAACACTTTGAAAAAGCCCTGCCTTGACCAACAGCTATGCAACAAAGGCTTCTACCACAAATAGTTCACTGAATTCCGCATGAATCATTTCAGGACATACCATTTAAAAGACACTTTTCTACCAGTGTAAGAATCCAGCTGTGTCTAGTGACTCCCTAGTGATATCTAGGGCTAATCCTTGCCAGGTGATTGTTTCCAGAAAAGAAATTCAAGTTAGAGTATCCAGTGGGGAAAAAAAGTGTAAAGGAAAATGTTAAGAAAGAATGGCCAGGCCGGACCCTCACTGTGGAGTGTGCAGGGAGCCCACAGAGAAGGCATTGTGTTGCATCTTATTTAGACCCGGAAGCAGCCCGTGAATTCCCTGAAATGCAAAACTGCCTGTTTAACTTGGCCATCTGCCCCTTCCCTTTGCTCCGCCGTCCCAGGCCCACTGGGGCACAGTGAAGGTGTTCCCACTGTCCCTTCCAGGGCCACATAGTGACACTGAGCTGAATGGGGCGGGTGTGACTTGTCACAGCCACAGAGCAGAGAGTTTCGGAGTAATTAGCAGCTGAGTCCACTTAAAAAGTCCTTGGAAGAGGTGTTTTTTTTTTTTCTTTTTATGGAATTTATTGGGATTACACTGGTTAACAACATTATACAGGTTTCATTCAGATGCACAAGTCTACAACACATCATCTCTACACTGTACTGTGTGTTCACCACCCCAAGTCAAGTCTCCGTCCATCACCATTTATCCCCCCTATACCCTCCTCCATGTCGGTCCACCCTCCTCCACCCCCCTGCAATCACCACACTGCTGTCTGTGTTCATGTTTATTTGTTTGTTGTTATTTTTTAAATGCTCTGATTTAAAAAATAACAACAAGCCCCCAGTTTTTGGTTAATGAGTTCTGCTTACAATGGGGTTCTGGGAAACATGAACAGAATGAGTTAAGTAAAAAAAAAAAAAAAAAGTGGCCTTTTTCTTGTGAAACAATGAGAAATACCACCCAGGAGTGAAGTAGTCCCATTTCTTGAAAAACTGTGAGTTATACACCTTTTTGGATTCTGGTTCCATGCTATTTTTTCTTTCTTTTTTTTAATATATAAATATTTTCATTTATTTCAGAGAGGAAAGAAGAGGGACAGAGAGATAGAAACATTATTGATGAGAAAGAATCACTGAGCGGCTGCCTCCTGCACACCAGCACAGGGGATCGAGCCCGCAACCTGGGCATGTGCCCTGACCGGGAATCGAACCATGACCTCCTAGTTCATAGGTCAATGCTCAACCACTGAGCTACGCTGGCCAGGCATGTTATTTTTTCTTCGTTCTTTCTAATACCTCAACTCAGTCTTTTGGCACTGAATAACATGTGATAAGGTCACACTGGTATCCTTTCACACCCTAAAGCTCCTGAAATTGTCTCTAAAAAAGCCAGATGTTGAGCAAATAGTTCATGAGAAAGTTCTGTTATCCATTATTCAGCCAAAAATAGCATCATGCAGAAAGCTGGCTATTAAAATTTATAAAGTAGATACAATGAAATATTACTCAGCAATAAAAAAGAATGAAATCTTGCCATTTGTGACAACAGGGATGGTAAAGCAGCGGTTTTCAACCTTTTTCATCTCACAGCACACATAAACAAAATATTAAAATTCTGCGGCACACCAAAAAATATATTTTTTGCTGGCCTGACCCAAAAAAGGTATATTTTTCATTCATTCACACTGGATGGCTCTTGTTGTGTTGGTTGTTGTCATTATTTTATTTAACATTCTAAGGCAGCGGTTCTCAACCTGTGGGTCGCGACCCCTTTGGGGGTCGAACGACCCTTTCACAGGGGTCGCCTAAGACCATCGGAAAACACATATATAATTACGTATTGTTTTTGTGATTAATCACTATGCTTTAATTATGTTCAATTTGTAACAATGAAAATGCATCCTGTCCTGCATATCAGATATTTACATTACGATTCATAACAGTAGCAAAATTACAGTTATGAAGTAGCAACGAAAATAATTTTATGGTTGGGGGTCACCACAACATGAGGAACTGTATTAAAGGGTCGCGGCACCTAGGAAGGTCTAAGGGAAAAGAGGTCAGTGCCCTTGACTGAATAGTCAGGTATTGCATGTTTTAAAAATTCTTGTGGCACACAGGTTGAAAATCACTGACCTAGAGGGTTATTAATGCTACGTGAAATAAGTCTGACAGAGAAAGACAAATACCACATCATTTCATTTGTATGTGGGATTTAAAAAAAAATTAAAACAAATGAGCAAACAAAACAAAACAAAAACAGACTCATAGAAACAAAAAAACAAAGTGACGTTTGCCAGGGGCGAGGGGTGTGGAGGGCTGGGTGGAAAGGTGAAGAGGAACCGTCAGTGATAGTGGCAGACGGTCACTGCACTGGGTGTGGTGAGCAGTAGGGTACACAGATGTCTGTTGAGTCGCTATGTCGCACATCTGAAATTAATACTAATCATACTGCATGCTAACTATGCTTTAATACAATTTTAAAACAATAAAGTTCATAAAGTAGAAGTGGACTGAAGAAGTTACTCCCCAAATCCAGTACCATCCGTTCAGAGACTGGCATTTTCACAAAAAGGAAACTTACCCAAAACATTTAAGAATTTGCACGAATATACTGAGCATCTAGATCACAAAAGTTCTCTTGGGGCCTCTCACTCCCCCCTCCCCCCCACC